TGGGACACACCTGGGCATGGGGACACAGCTGGGACACACCTGGGCATGGGGACACAGCTGGGACACACCTGGGGACACACCTGGGCTGGGCCAGGGCAGTGTCCTGTACCACGGGCTGGGTGAGTGACACACCTGGGGACACCTGGGGGACACCTGGGCATGGGGACACACCTGGGACACACCTGGATGTGCGGACACCCCTGGGTTGGGCTGGGTGAGTGACACACCTGGGGACACCTGGGGGACACCTGGGCATGGGGACACACCTGGGACACACCTGGATGTGCGGACACCCCTGGGTTGGGCTGGGTGAGTGACACACCTGGGGGTCTCACCTGTGCCCTGGGGGTCTCACCTGTCCCACCTGTCCCCTGAGGGTCTCACCTGTCCCCAGGAGGTCTCACCAATCCCCGGGGGTCTCACCTGTCCCCGGGGGGTCTCACCTGTCCCCCGGGGGTCTCACCTTTCCCACTTGTCCCCTGAGGGTCTCACCTGTCCCCCGGGGGTCTCACCTGTCCCCGGGGGTCTCACCTGTCCCACCTGTCCCAGTGCACAGGTCGGAGGAGGAGCTGCAGCGGCTGCAGCAGCGCCGGGAGCAGAAGCTGCAGCTCAAGGCCCAGCGGAGGCAGAAACAGGAGCAGGACCTGGAGAGGAAACGGCACCTGAGGCACCTGAACAGGTGAGGGGGACACAGGTGACACTCCCAGGTGAGGGCAGGACAAGGTGACACTCCCAGGTGAGGGCAGCACTGGGATCAAACCTCACCTGTCCCCCCTCACCTGTCCCTCACCTGTCCCCTCTCACCTGTCCCCTCACCTGTCCCCTCTCACCTGTCCCTCACCTGTCCCTCACCTGTCCCTGTCCCCCCCAGGGAGCGCAGCCTGGCCGGGATGCGACGCCGGCAGGGCCAGGCCGGGACAGGTGACGGTGCCAGGACAGGTGACGGTGCCAGGACAGGTGACAAGGAGGGCGACAGCGACGTCGAGGACCCCGGCGCACCTGAGCCAGGTGTGGCCACGCCCTCGGAGGACGAGGACGACGCCGAGTACTACAGACAGGAGGTGGGGGAGGAGCCCGACACAGGTGAGTGGGGGGGGGGACAGGTGAGTTTGGGGGGAGTTTGGGAGGTTACAGGTGAGTTTGGGGAGACAGGTGAGTTTGGGGGGAGTTTGGGGGCTTACAGGTGAGTTTGGGGGGTGGGACTGACCCCCCTTTTCCCTCTGGAGGTGGTTGATGACACCAAAAACTTCCTGAATTTCCATGAGTTTGGTTCAAAGTAAACGCTCTGACACCTCCGGAACGGCCCCGAAACTGCCCCTTTTCACCCCGAAACTGCCCCTTTTCACCC